TCCGCCCAGGCCGCGGCGGGCGGGGAGGCCGGAGGCGGCGGGGAGGCCGGAGGCGGCGGCCACGGCCTCTCCCCCCTGCCTCTCCGGGCTGGGTGGGGCAGCGGGTGGGGGCCGGCGAGGGAGAAGCGGCGAGGCTCCCTCCTCCGGGCCGCGCTCCCCTCACAGGGCCGGGCCAGGGGCGCCGCCATTTCGGGCGGGGGGCGCGAGACACCTACCATCTTCGCCGCCGCGAGGAGCCGCCCCTCCCCCGCCGCCGCGCCTCGGCCCGCCCACTACCCCCGCTGCCCGCCGCCGAGAGCGCGCCTATTGGTCCCGCTCCCGGCCTCTCTCGCCTCCTATTGGACGCCGCTCCCGTCACTCAGAGAGGCGCTGAGGAGCGTAGGGTTCCGTTGAGGCAGGAAATGCCCGCTCCGGAGGGCCCGGTGGGGGTGCAGGGCGGGAGGACCCGGATGTAGCGTCGGCCGCGGGGCACGCTGGGAGGTGTAGTCCGCGCCCCGTTCCCCTCGGCCCTCCCTAATAAAGACGTTGTTAATTACGCGGCGGGAATGAGGCAGTTCATTAGCAGCGCGGGGAGAAGAGTGGCCATGGGAACGCAATTCCCTTCATCCTGTCCCCAGCCCGGAGAACAAGGAACTGGGCGCCGAAGTGCCTGAGGGGATGGAGTGGAGTGGGGGAGTCACAGACTGGTTTGGGTGGGGAGGGACCTCAAAGCCCCCTCAGTGCCCCCCCCCCTGCCCTGGGCAGGGACACCTCCCACCACACCAGGTTGCTCCAAGCCCCCTCCAACCTGCCCTTGAACCCCTCCAGGGATGGGGCAGCCACAGCTTCTCTGGCCAACCTGGGCCAGGCTCTCACCACCCTCACACCAAACAAGTTCTTCCCCACATCTCAGCTCCATCTCCCCTCTTTCAGTGTCAAACCCTTCCCTCTCGTTCTATGGCTCCCCTCCCTGATCCAGAGTCCCTCCCCAGCTTTCCTGGAGCCCCTTGAGGGACTGGAAGGGGCTCCAAGGTCTCCCCGGAGCCTTCTCTTCTCCAGGCTGAGCCCCCCCAACTCCCTCAGCCTGTCCCCACAGCAGAGGGGCTCCAGCCCTCCCAGCACCTCCAAATTATTCTCCATTTGTCCCAATTCTTCCTCTTATTAGCAGCTTGTCCAGTTTTCCTGCCATCCTCCCAAAGGCTCCCCACGCCAAGAAACCCCTTTTCCCCCATGACTCCCCATTAAGTTTCGCATTCACGATCAGCGCAGGAGGTTCAAGGCGAGTCGGTTGGGCTTTAATGACAGCTCAGGTTCACCCTGGAACTGCACAAAGCAGCAATAATTTCACGATTCAAAAAGCAGCCACTAAACAGAGCCCTCAGAGGCCACCAGCACGGCTGCTCACGCCACCCCAACACCCGAGGAGCTGCTGCAGCAGCGACCGACCGTCCCTCTGGTGTTGGGAACACGTGAGCCACTGTCCCTTGGCACAGACCGGGTGACTCCAAACCCGCAGAGGCTCTAGGGCTCGACTGGGGCTCACCCCACACCGCAGTGACCCCACGGGCAGAGCCCTCAGTGGGTCAGAGACTTCCTGCCCTTCAGCATCCGCCGGAGGATGACCTCGATGCCGCCCGGCGTGCTGATGCGCTTGATCCAGCCGTGGGTCCGCTTGCGCTTGCGGTTGTTGGGCTGATATTCGTTCCCCCGTGCTTTTGTGCGGACCTGCTGGTGGTTCCAGGGGGAGAGCAGGCCGGGATGGCCGCCGGCGGGTCTGAGGGAGGGATGGCTTCCGAGGGAGGGACAACTTCTGAGGGAGAGGCAGCTTCCAAGGGGCAGCTCCAGGCAACTTGAGAAGACGGAGGCTGCTCGGAGCTGGGGAGGGCAGGCTGCGGCTCGCTGCAGCAGAGAAAACCTTTGGGAAAAGGGAAAAACAAAGAGAAGTGAGGAGAGAGAGCCTGGCGCTGCCGCTGACAGGAAAATAAAGGGCTTTCCCGCAGCCCTGAGGAGACGGGGCTGACCCGGCCCAGGGCCCGCTCGCCCCCGCTGTCCTTCCCCCCCCGCGAGCCCTCCCCGGGGAGGCGGCGGCCGCCGTTACCTGCCGCCAAGGGCGGGCGCCCAGAGGCGGCCCAGCGCCGCCATCGCCCTCAGCCCGTCCTGGCAACACCGTCCCCCCAACAACGCCGCCTCCTATTGGCTCCCTCCGCCCGGCCGGCGAGGAGCGCGCATGCGCATTGGACGGGAGAGGGGACGCACGTATTGCGCAGCGGGGCCGCAAGGGACGATGGGGGTTGTAGTTCTGTGCGGGGGAGCCGTTACCATGGGAACGGCCGCGGGGTGCGGCCTGCGCCCCCCGGGCTTGTCAAACGCCGCGGCCTCCTGCGACAGGGGGGCCCGTCCCGGTCACAGCCGGCGAACGGAGCAACGGCCGCCGCTAAAGGGTGATTTATTCCTCGCCAGGATGGTTCTGCCAGCATTCACTGGGGCCTTTGGGCCCCTCTGGGGTGAGAGGCCCAGCCCAGCCCCAGGGCCCTGCCACCACAGGAGGCCCATGGCCTCGCCGCCATCCCGGCCACCTCGTCCCTGAGGGGTGTGCTCTGGCTGCCCCCAAAATTGTCACAACAAGCAGCCTGGAGCACAGGTATCCATTTTTGGAAGCCTCCATGGGCACCGGCACAGGGTACATACACCGGGGCTGGGGCTGGCACCGAACTCTGACCACTCTCCTCCTCTAACGTATATATATGCGTATAGAGCAGCAGCATGTAGGATGTGCCAAAGCACCTACAGAAAGCTTCAGCCTCCGGCCTTTGCCACGTAGATGAATGTGATTACCTGTGCTTTACAGAGCAGGGAGATGAGGTGCAGGAGGAAGAAGAGGAGGAGGAGGAAGAGGAGGAGGGCCAGCTTGGAGGTCAGAGGGTGAGTCACTGCTAACCCGCAGGATCTCAGTCACCCTCGCCGTCCACTCTGCTCATTGAAAAGATCCTGCAGATTGTTCTGCTGGAGGCAAGCCCGGCCGTCCCGCCGAGAGCGGGCACCAGCTCCGGGGTTTTTCTGTGCTGCTTTGGTGTTTTCCTGCCAGAAGTTGGCCCGTCGGGGTGAGGGGACGCGGCTGCAGCCCTGCCAAACCTGCAGCTGTGAAAATAAACCCAAGAGACATTCCTCCTCTTATGTTTGTCCTCCTGTCCCGGCCCCTGGAGTCTGTGTGTTCACGCTTTCGGTGCACAATCACTTGGGCTGAGCTCTGACACGCTCGTGGCGCTGACACGCTGGTGGCCTCTGAGAAGCTGTGAATAGCAGAATGGGGAGAAAATGGTAAAAGGTAAAGAAGGAACTCGGTAACTCACCCCACTGGAAGGGGGTAAAAGCCCAGGGCGAGCCCTCTCGCCCCCCCTGCTCCTGGCAGGCTCCCCATGGGCGGGCGACTGGGCTGCGCTGGGTCTGGCTTTGACTGGCAAGTCTCCTTGTCTGTCACGCCCAGAGCCCTCCTCTTTAGGAGGGATTTAAGGGGCTTTCTATGGCTATAGACTACAAGGACAAATAGCACCCCCAAACCCCCCCAGCTCAGTTATGAAGCTGCTCATGGGGAGAAGATGGCAGGAGAGATTTCGGTCTAAGGGGGATGAGCTGAGCTGAGGGCATTGCTCCATCCTTCCCTCCAGACAGGCAAAAAAATGTAATCGGAGGAGCTGCAAAGCAGCCTGCCAGCTCTGGCACCCTGCATCCCGCTGCCTCGGGCATCTCTTCCTCTCCCCGCTTTGCCTCCTGCAAGATTCAAGCCTTTCCTTCGCAGCCTCGACTCCTGACAACCCTTGTCAATAAATGAGGTGAGCATCCCCCTTCTGTCTCTCCCTCTTTGTGCAGATGGGCTCGGGGCGCGGGCTGCCATGTAGGGTATGTGCTGGAGGGGAGGAAGGTGCTCTGCACGGGGAGAAAAATGGCCAAAATAGGTGGTTTTTTGTGTTTTGTTTTTTTTTCTGAAGCTGAGGATGGGAAGGGATTCGAAGGTGAGAGATGGGATTGCGAGGAGAGAAGGGGAGCTGGGAGCCTTGCAGCGATACGGCGTCGCTCACGCTTAAATAACCCTGTTATAACGAGCACAATTTGAGCTGGGGGGGGTTATAAAAAAAAGCTGCCCAGCAATAAAACTTGAAAAGGGTCGGCTTCTGTTGTGATGCAATTGCAGTAAAGGATTGCTGGCTCTGCCCGAAGACCCGCTGTTGCTATGTTGCGTGTCAAATCTGCTGCTTGGATTTTTTTTCGGTTGGAGAGATGGAGAGGGCACCTGCACGCATCGCTGCCCGGCGGAGGGGGCAGGGTTTTGCTTCTTCTCCTGCCTCCTTGCAATGGTTCCTTCCCTCTCGCTGCCGGGAGGAATCCAACCCGGCTTTTTCTGCTGCTATGCAGTGGAGAGGTGGGGGGGGGTTTGCAATCCCCCCTGGAAAATCCAGGAGGCTTTGGGAAAGGTTAGGGGGGGTGTTAAAGCAGGATTTGGGTGGCGGAGGTCAGGCACAGGCTGTGCATTGTATAAGCTTTTGTTTCTCAAGGTCTTCTGCCTTCCTAAAGAGAGCGGCGTGGCAGGCAGCCAGCGGCGGCTCCAGCCTGCCGTATGTCTTACAGACGGCTCTGCTTTCCCTCCCGTGCCCTTTCTTGACTGAAATGCCATTTCTCCACGTCCTGCGGGCCCTGGGTGACGCCGTGCTGCCCGCGGACAGGGATCCATCCCGGGAGGCTGCCATCCCTGCCCGTGCTGAGGATTCAGGGCTGCCTCCTTGGTTTGCTATTTGTACCACTGCTAAAGCCTTCCTGCCTGCTTACTCCTGACTGTCCTGATAAAGCTGCTTTAATTGCATCAGGAGGGGGAAGCCAGGCTTGACAGGAGAAATCCAGGTGCTAACACCGGCTAAAGTGGCTTTTTCACGTTCCCCCAGGGGGAAGTTTACTTTGTGGGTCCAAGACTGAGCAGCATAAAACATTTTCTTGTGTGTATCTGAGGTCGGTGCTTAAACCAGCGGTTGGTTCTCTTTATGGTGTTTCTCGATGCTGCAGTTTCTCCCCTCTGCAGGGAGTGAATGACTGGGGGGAGGCTGGGAAGAGCGTAATAATATTTGCCCATTCCTCAAGAGTGTTGTGTGTCATCATTAAT